ATAAAAAAAATAAAAATGATATAGTGATTAATAGTACAATGATTTTGACATATTTCTCATATAGACATCATGTAAAAATGAAATTTATAATTACTTTCACTACATATTGGGGTGGCTATCTAGAATGAATTTTAAGGTGACTTCCAATTTTATAATATTTGAGTGCTCTCCAATGTGTACAAACAGCATAAGTTTGTCTACTTAGTAGTTAAGGTGGGACATATTTTAACATTTTAATATATATTTTCACCTAAATAAGATAAAGACAAGAAAATTATCAATGTTAAAATTGTACAGATGTAACCTCACTCTTAAGAATTTATATATCCTAATTAATCAATCAAATATTCCTTGAACAGAATATGATTGCAGGAGGTAGCGATACCACCATGGTGACATTAACGTGGGCAATATCATTATTGGTGAACAACCCTCACGTTCTGAAAAGGGCCCTAAACGAACTGGACACGAAAATAGGCAGACAAAGAGTTGTGAGTGAAGAAGATATAAGCAACTTGGTCTACATCCAAGCTATTGTAAAGGAGACATTACGTTTATACCCAGCAGCACCATTATCAGGGCCACGTGAATTCACTGAGGATTGCACCATTGCTGGGTGCCATATTCGAAAGGGCACCCGGTTGATCATGAACCTCTGGAAGCTCCAAACAGACCCGAAAATTTGGCCTGATCCATTGGAGTTCAAGCCAGAGAGATTTCTTACCACCCATAAGGATGTTGATGTGAAGGGTCATCATTTTGAGTTGATTCCATTTGGAAGTGGTAGAAGAGCATGCCCTGGTTTGGCGTTTGCCCTTCAAATGGTGCAATTTACGTTGGCTAGTTTTCTACATGCTTTTGAAATCTCGAACCCATCTAGTGCACCAATTGATATGACGGAGAGCTTTGGGCTCACCAACATGAAAGTAACTCCACTCAAAGTTCTTATCAAACCTCGCTTGTCTTTTGAATTTTACAAATAAAAGAAAAAAAATATATAATATTATTTGTATGAAGAAGAGATTTTCGTTGTTATTGATTGTATACAGTTATCTGTACTTCTCTATGGTCATAAAATCAAAAAAGATGTTATGGGTATTTGGGAATGGGCATATTACGCAGAGTATATTGACTTTCCCTTGTAACGCTGGCAATAAAAAAGTACACCAAAATAGTAAAATACCTCTTTATTACAGTTTTTTATTGGGCTCTATGTTGGGCCTATTGCATTCGGCTTTTTTGTTTTTCAAAAGAACCCACCCATTCGCCAGTACACGAATAGGACAAAATAAATTGGTCCATTTCTAGACTCCCAGTCCAATTTATGTGATCAGGTCTCAACCGTTCATAAAAAATAGAACTCTTTTTTTCTTTTTTCTTTTCTTCTTAAAAAAAAAAAAAAAACTCTTTCTCACAACAAAACCTTTCTAGACTCCAAGTCCCTCCCTATGACAACTTTGACCCTCTATCTTTATCACATCCCAGACCAGCTCCGCCGTAGCACGATATTGTCCACTTTGAGTCCTGGCCATGTCCTCACGATTTTGTTTCTGGGAACTCACGCAATAACTTCTCCTAGGAATGCTCTTGCCCAAACTCACTTAAGTTTGGAGTTCGGATGGAATCCGAAGCCACTGAGCTTCTAAAAGGTCTCGTGCTATATGGAGATGGGTATGTACATATAAGGCACATCACCCCCTCTCCATTGGTCGATGTGGAATGTTACAAGCCACCCTTTTAGGGGCCCAACATCTTTGTTGGCACACTCGCATCACACGGCAGAGTGGCTTTGATACCATTCTGTCACATCCTAGACTGGATCCGCGCGTAACACGATATTGCTCACTTTGGGTCCCCGCCACGCCCTTACGGTTTTGTTTCTGGGAACTCGTGCGAGAACTTCCTAGTGGGTCACCCATCATGGGAATGCTTTTCCCTAAACTCGCTTAACTTCGGAGTTCCGATGGAATTTGAAGCCAGTAAATGCCCAAAAGGCCTCGTGCTATATGGAGGTGGGCATGTACATATAAGGCACATCACACCCTCCCCGTTGGTCGATGTGGGATGTTACAATCTCTCTATTTCTTGTCCAGCGACACTCCATCACACCTTCAAATTCATCTTCTTTAGTCACCTCGCATCATCAAATTCATTGCCCAATTTCATCTTTCACCTTTGGTTCGCACAAACTCTCTCTCCCCTCGACCCTCCATCACCCATTCCGCCGTCAGGTAGCCGTCGACCACCTTTCCCTCTTCACCCTCTCACAAATCGATGAAAATCGTTTTTGTTTCAGCTGTCGACGTAGAGCTTCATCAATTCTTAATTAATTCTCTCGATTCGACTGTCAATGTTCAAGATTTAGGGTTTTTTATTTTCAAATTAGGGGATAAATTAGGGTTTTTTATTTTTGATTTGGGGATCAATTTTCTTATATTGCACATTAAAAATGTTGTTGTAAAATTTATCCATTTCGTATATTTGAAAGTCTTATAGTCCCTTAAATTGATGACCTGCTATAGGTGAGACTTTTTCTAGGTTAAAGTGTACTTGCACAAGTTGGAATAAATAGTATGATTGGTCGAGAGATTTTTTCTAAGTTTGAAAGTTATATTCCCTTACGTTGATGATGTGCCATATGTTGAGACTTTTCCTAGGTTGGCGTATACTTGCACACATGTTAAAACAAATGGTGCAAAACAATTCCAGTCGTTCGCAAAACGCGATCGGTCTGACGGCGACTTTTCTCTCCGGGTGTGAGAGTGCTTGCTCCTCCGTGAGTTCCGCCTCTGTGCGTGTGGTTACAGGTTAGTTTCGATCATGTGTTTTTGTGCTTATCAGGTTAAGATCTTGGGGTGTTGGGTAACTGAGGCTCTGAAAGCAGGATGGCGTGGGGTGACAAGGACTAGGGTGACGGAAAGGATTTGGGGCTTTTCAAATTGGTGTGTTGTACTCCACGAGGGTTGTAGAGGCTGTTGTGTTGATCTGATTGGGGGTTTTACTTCTGTCAATTTGGGTTTGTGGGATCTGTGCGCTTGGGGGTTTCTGCTGTTGTGGTTCGTTTGGGGGGAGGTGGAATCCGTCAGCTGGTAGGTAGTAGGATGGATGATGTAAGGGCTTAGGGTGACGGTAAGGGGGTGGGGTTTCTCAAACTAGGGTGAATCTCTCTTCGAGGGGGACTGGGGTGGGGTGGGTTTTCTCTAATTAGGGTGTCTCTCTCTTCGAGAGGTGATGGGGTGGGTACTTTGAATCGGGTTGGGGGGTTTTAATTCTGTCAGTCTGGGTTTGAGGGGGCAGAGTCAGTGGAGGAAAAGGGGGGGGCTCTTCTAGCTTGACGTTTCCATTTCGAGGGTGGTTGGGATTGCTGGTGTGGTGTTAGTGGGGGCGATACTAGCGATATGTTGCCTAATTGGCCGAATTGAAGAAAGAAATCAGTTGGTATGCTGGGTGGCTTATCTGTGTATTCTGAGGTTGTGTCCAGAAAGTCAAGGTTTCTCTCCGTCTCAGGCTGGGCGAGTGGGGCAGTACTGTTACTTTGGGATGGCGACAAGTGGAGTGGATGAACTGGTGGTTCAACTGAACCAAACATTGGAATTATCAACCATGGAACAGGGAGTTAAATTGGTTGGGAAAGTCCTTACGCCAAAACCATTGAACAAGCGGGGAGTCAGGAATATTCTCAGAGCGGCTTGGAAAGAATTGGGTGAGGTGGAAATAAAATGGGTAAGGGAGAACGTCTTTATTATTTCGGTCAAAGATGAACATGTAGCTTCAAAAATCCTTGAGCAGGTTCCCTGGGCAGTGATGAAAAAGGTGTTCTCTGTCGTGAAATGGCCTCCGGAGCTCGCTTTAGAGGAGCTGGAGCTGGATGCTGTTCCATTTTGGGTTCAAATAAGGGGAATTCCGCTGGGCTTAGCCTCTATCGATAATGTGCAGCGTGTAACCAAAGAGGCTGGGAAATTTATAGCCATGGAGGATCCCGGACACGCTCGTGGTTTTTTGCGAATCAGAATCTTAGTTGATACGGAGAAACCATTATTCAAGGGATGCTAGATTCGAAGAGATTCAAATAAGGAAACCTGGGTGGAATTTCGGTATGAACGGCTTCAAGATTTTTGCTACAGGTGTGGACGGATTGGGCATATCAATACTGAATGTTCCGTTGAGATGTCTGTAGATGGGGAGGTGGCGTATGGAGAGTGGATGAAGGCACTGCCGGTAAGGGAGGTGGCGATATCGACGAGAGTAGAGTATGTGGGCAGGGGGGAACGCCGGCAGGCCGGGGTGGTGCGCGGATCGGGCATCACGGCTGCACAGAATCAAGGTAGTTTACGGATGTCGAAGGCTCAAGGAATGGAGCGAAATCAAACCATGGAGTCAGGGAGAGCATCAAAGAGTCGGGGCACAGGTCAAAAAAAATGGCGTAGAAGAATGCGGGGGGAGGCAGAGGATACGTTTTCCTGCTCTGAAATGGAAAGCATTAAAACAGTGGGGGAAGGAAGGTCGAGCGAGGTCCAGGGGGGTAATAACATTTTGTCCGCCCAGGATGATGAACCATTATGGGGTAGTAAAAGAAGTGGGGAAGCACAGGATATGATGCTAACTTAAGCTCAACAGAAGAAATTCAAGGGCCCAGATACGGAAGAGAATCACCAAGGAAGGGCAGCAGAGACAGGGAGGAGGTTAAATTGCAAGGAAGGAGACCTATCGGTGGAACGAGCGGTCCGTACGACGGGTGAAGATAAGGAAGAAATAAGTGAGAATCTTGGAGGACAGGAAGTACTGGAAGGGGGGTCGGATATTGCTAAAGGAAGGATGGTGACAAGGAAGGCGGGCAAGTTGGCTCGGGGCGGTGGCGGCTGGCCTTCAACAGCCGCAGGCCAGCCATGAGTTATATCTTTTGGAACTGTCGTGGGCTAGGGTCGGACACGACAGTCAGGGCTCTCCATGGGCTTATTCGCAAAAAGAGACCCTCTATGATCTTTTTATCAGAGACTAAGATGAAAGATCATAGAATTCTAGGTGTGAGGAGGCGATTGGGTTACTTACATGGATTTGATGTTTCGCCAATTGGAATTTCTGGAGGGTTGAGTTTATGGTGGGAGGACAATCTGGAGGTTAATATTATCTTTTCGTCCAAGCATATTATTGATGTTGTGATGAGAATTAAAGGGCAAACGCAATGGAGTAGGATTACGGGTGTGTACGGAACGTCGTATAGAGTTGAGAAAAATCTATTTTGGGATTGGATGGTTAACCACTTTACCCCCACAGATATACCTTGGATTTGTGGTGGGGATTTCAACGAATTCCTGTGGGATTATGAGAAGTCTGGAGGAGTTGAGGTCTTGTACAACAGACCAAGATTCTTAGAAGAGTTTCTGTCTTCCTCTCAGTTGATGGACTTGGGTTTCAATGGGCCAACATTCACGTGGAGAGGGCTGAGAAAAGGGGATTGGGTGGAGGAGCGATTAGACAGGGTTATGGCGAATGAAAAGTGGCAGCAACTCTGGCCGAACTCCCATGTTATGCATGAAACGGTTTTAGCCTCGGATCACTGCCCAATTGTTCTTAGTTCTATATCTGATGGGCAGAAAGGAAGGAAGATGTTCAGGTTTGAGGCGTTTTGGGTCTCGGAGGAAGAGTGCAAGAATTTGGTGGAAAAGTGCTGGGATCGACGGCATCATGGTAGCCCTGTGAATATGTGGGTGAGATCTTTGAACGACTGTCGTTATCGCTTGAGCAGGTGGAATCGTACTAAATTTAAGGGGCGGGGTAGCAGGATCCATGATCTTCTTTCCCAGTTAGATTCACTCCAGCGTGACTGGGGTCCAAACTATGATGAGATAAGGGAGATATCTTGGCAGATTGATGAGTTAAGACTCCAAAAGGAGAGTTATTGGTGCCAGCGATCGAGGGTAAAATGGTTGAGGGAGGGGGATGCAAACACTCAGTTTTTTCATTCTTCAACCCTTCAGAGGCGTAGGAGAAATAAGATTGTGAAGCTTAGGGCTGAGAATGGGAACTGGGTGGAAAATCCATCTCAGGTGCGCCATTTAGTGGATAATCATTTCTCTTCAGTTTTTAGCTCGGCAGGGGATCGTAACTGGGGGTCGCTGCTAGATTGCATTAATCCCTCGGTCTCGACAGAAATGAATGAGGCGCTAACTGCACCGGTTACGGAGGAGGAGATAAAGGAGGCTGCTGGGAATATGGGAGGTCTTAAGGCTCCCGGCCCCGATGGTTTCCAGGGGATCTTCTATCAGACATACTGGGAGATTGTGAAGGAGGATGTTTCGGCTCTGATCAGAGAGTTGCTTCAGGACGTTGCGGGTTCGAGATTGATAAATCAGACTAATATAGTTCTGATTCCCAAAGTCCCTAATCCGGAATTTGTGTCGCAGTTCAGGCCTATCAGCCTATGTAACTATTCATACAAGATACTGTCAAAGATTCTTGCTAACCGGTTGAAGGTATTATTGCCTAAAATCATATCGCCATCTCAGAATGCTTTTGTGGCGGGTAGACAAATTCAGGATTGCATTGGCATATCCCATGAGATGTTTCATTATCTGAAGGGAAGGAAAGCCAAGAACAGATTTGAAATGGGGATTAAACTGGATATGCAGAAGGCGTATGGTAGGGTTGAATGGGACTTTTTGGATGCGGTAATGGAAAGAATGGGGTTCAGCAGTGGTTGGAGATCGCTAATTAATGGATGTATTTCGTCTGTGAAGTTCGCTGTTCTCCTAAATGGGCAGGCTAGAGAGTCTTTTGCTCCCTCGCGGGGTCTCCGTCAGGGGGATCCTCTTTCTCCTTATTTATTCATTTTGGTGGGGGAAGTTCTTTCCAAACTGTTTCAGGGTGCGGTGGACCAAGGTAAGCTGGAGGGTGTAAAGATTGGTGGATTCGGACCCGTGATTTCTCACCTCTTCTTTGCGGATGATACCCTTCTGTTTTTGCGGGCAGATGTGAAAAACTGCAGGAATTTGAAACATATGCTGGACAAATTTTGTGTGGCGTCTGGGCAGAAGGTTAATTTGGAGAAATCCAGTGTTTTCTTTGGGGCAAATGTTCCGAAGGTGAACGCAGATCAGATGGGGAATGCCCTTGGTATGGCGGTGGTTAGCAATCCGGGGACCTATTTGGGGGTCCCTGCTATTTGGGGCCGGTCGAAAAAGCGTGGTCTTGCTTATGTGAAAGGAAGAGTAATGGAAAAGCTACAAGGGTGGAAACAAAGTACTCTATCTCGTGCCGGTAAAGAGGTTTTAATTAAGGCTGTTATCCAAGCTATTCCGGCGTACCCAATGTGCATTTTTAAATTCCCCGCCGCCGTTTGTCAGGAATTGGATGCGTTGGTGGCTGGATTTTGGTGGGGTTGCAAGGAGGGAGCCCAAAAGATTCATTGGGTCTCAAATGAGGTTTTGGGTTTGCCAAAAGACTTGGGTGGTTTAGGTTTTAGAAACTTTATGGAATTTAATGATGCTCTGCTCGCTAAACAGTGTTGGCGGTTAATCACGGAACCGGACTCGCTGTGGGCTAGGGTGATTAAAGCCCGGTATTTTCCCCATTGCTCGATATGGGATGCAAAGAAAGGTGGTCGGGCTTCTTGGGCATGGAGCAGCCTCATCTGTGGCAGGGACGTGATCAAGGAGGGTTCCCATTGGCAGATTTTGGGCGGTCAGGAGGTGCGGGTGTGGCAGGATAGGTGGCTTCCATCCTTGCCCCTTGGACATCCGGTGCCGGTGGGCCAGGTTGCGGTTACTCCCAGTTTAAGGGTCAGTGCGCTTATCTGTGCGGAGTCGGGGCGGTGGAATCTTAACTTTTTACAGCCTTTCATATCGGGGGAGGCTTTGAAGGCTATTGAGGAGACGCCTTTGAGGGATCTAAGTCGTAATGATAGGCTTATCTGGGATTTGAGTAAGAACGGTACTTATTCGGTCAAGTCGGGTTATAGATGGCTGCAAGGTAGATCACTGGCCAGGAGGGACAAGCGTCGGCCTTCTGTTCGTGGGGTTCCTAAGGCGTTTTGGAAGGGGATTTGGAAGCTGGAGGTGCCCCCCAAGTTGCGACATTTCCTGTGGCTTACGATGCATAATTGTATTCCTACTCGGGAAGCCCTGTACCGACGACGGTCCTCTCTGACCTCTACTTGTCCTATTTGCTGCTGCCATGATGAAACCATTGAGCACATTTTCCTTTCTTGCTCTTGGGTTGAGCCAATTTGGTTTGGTGGGGCTTTGGGGTATAAATTGGATCGTCTTTCTCTTCCGTCTTGGCTGGAATGGATTCAGAAGGTATTCTCTCCGAATTTATGCAACTTTGGAGATACAATGTGGAGACAATCTTATATTGTTTTTACCTGTTGGTGTATCTGGAAAGCTCGTTGTGATCTTGTTTTCAAAGGGATGTCTGTTAACCCTTTAAAAGTCTTGGCTGATGTTTCTGCGGCTATGAGCTCGTTTTTTGGTGCTAAGGCTATGGCTGGGGTGAGGGGAGGGGGTGACGGGATGAGGGGTACCCAGATGGCGCGGTGGTGTGCTCCGGCCTCTCCTTTTGTGAAGATTAATGTGGATGCTAGTTGGTCCAAGGCCTCAAAGATGGGATTTGTTGGATTGATTGCGCAAGACATGGAGAGAAAATTCGTGGCTGCAGCGCGGTATGCTATATCTGCACCTTCTGCTGCTGCAGCGGAGGCTTATGCGTTGTTGCACGGGTGCCAGCTCGGTGAAGACTTGGGTGTAAGGTATGTAATTCTTGAGTCGGACTCCCTTGAAGCGATTAATTGTTTATCTAGCTCGCTGTCTAGGGGTAGTTGGGAGGCATTCCCGGTGCTGGCTCGGGTTAAACAGCTGGGGGGGAAGTTCCTTGATTGCCGATGGTCTTGGGTGCCCCGTTCTTCTAATGGCGTGGCTCACAAGATTGCATCGGGTGGTTTTACAGAGATGAGTGATGTCGTTTGGGTTGTTAGGCCCCCATCTTCGTTGGTCTTTGTTTTGAATAATGACGGGCTACCTTGTCCTTATTAATTTGTTTTGGTGGTGCCGGGGGTGACGCCTCTACTTGGTGGAGGGGTCTTTGTGGTTTACCCCTTGTCACTGCTTGTTAATTGTATGTTTGTTTGCCTCTCTGTAGGCCTTTTATGATATGGTAACTGGTGTTCAAAAAAAAAAAAAAACAAATGGTGCGATTGATTGTCGTTTTGGAACACAATATAATAATTTTAAAAAAAAAAGATAAAGAAAAAAAAGCTTTATCTGATTATTTTATTTTATTTTTAATTATGATAAAAAACAATGGCAGTTGGCACCTAATTTGTATTAATGTTTAATCAAAAGATAATGCTAGAAAGATTAAATTTACAAACTAAATGATGTATCACTAATAGGAATAAATACGTTTATCAACGTTTAAGTAATAAATCAATCATCAACTTTCATGTCCTTTAGTTTTTAAAACTTTGTATACAAATTTGGTATCCATAGCATTATCTTTAATCAAAAGTCAACATTGATCAAAATTTAAAATAAAAAAAAAAATCAAAAGTCAACAATTTGTACATGCTTGAACTAGCACTTAGGAAAACGAGACACCTGCCTTGTAATAGCAAGCGAGCCAATTTATTAAAAAGTAATGTTATTCATACTATCTTTTTATATAACATTTCTATACAATCTTAGATGATATTTGATGTGAACAGTCACATTATTTAAAAAAAATTGCAAAACACAAGGAAATTAAGGAGAAAGACTCCTCGTATATCACAATCATCATTTAATTAACTAGTTTTTCTTAATTATTAATTTATTAAATAATGAACTAAATTTAAAAATCTGATTAATTCAAATGAAATAGCTATATCAAATGCCACCTAAGGTGGTATAAAAATATGGTACAAAAATATAGTATGAAACACAAAAGTAACTGCTTATAATAGGGGTAACATAGTGAAATGAAACACAACACACATGGGAGATGCTTACGTGAGATATACTTTTTCTACACTCTTAGCCAAGATTGTTTTTATTCGTTGGATGAATCAAACCCTCCCTCAAAGCTTCACAATCAAACCCAAAAAAGATCAGAAAATAAGGACAAATTGGTAAAAAACTCATAACCGAATAGAAAACTGTAATGAAAAAAATATTAAATTTTTACTATAAATTGACAGCAAGGAATACAAAAAACATACATAGGAAACCAGAAATTAAAACGCATATTGGTCACGAGTTCATGTAATAGATAACCCATGAATGCAATATTGGTACTCATCTTGATTTAAAAAAAAAAAAAAAAAAGTAGATGAAAACATAAAGAGACGGATGCCGTTAAAAAAATGAGAAAAAGAGGAAAAAAAATGTTGGGAAATTGAGGAAAGAAACGTGGGAGAGAGACTGCAGGTTTTAGTTTACAAACTCTCACGTTATTGAAAAATTTGATCAAATGAAAAAAAAAAAAAAAAAAACCAAATATGTTTAGAATTAGAAAATTTTGAAAAAAATTGAGGAAAGAAACGTGGGAGAGAATGTATTTACAGACTCACGTTATTGTAAAACTAATGGAATAAACATAAATAAATAAATAAAAAGAACCCTAATATGTTTAGAATTAGAACTGCTATTCAGCAGTTGAACACTTGAAGCGTGTGAAGGGAGTAGTTTTGTAGAACTATAAACACGATTGTGCATGAAAAAAAATTCAAACGTGGGAGAGGAAGCAGTTTTGCGGAAGGAGATCTAAGTAAAGCACACAATAAAAGAACCTGAAAAGAGCAAATTGAAATTGTTTTGCTGGAGCCCGGAGGAGAAGATGAAATTGGTGAAAAACCAACAAGAATTGGTCATTCGATAAAGTATGTGTATTTTATTTTATTTTAATTTTTTTTTTTACTGTTAATTGAGTTTAATTCCTCCTCTATAGTTCTCAATTATTAATTAAACTTTTGTATTTTGTTCTTTGTCACAATGCTCCTTATTCCTTATTGTTAATCTTCTCATGCATTTTCACAGAATTATTGAATTTAATTTCTTCTACAAATCAGTCTCTGGAATTTACCAATCGTGGAACAAACAAGTGACGAGGTTTAAATTTGTTTTCTATGTAATTGATTTTGGCATTTTGTTTTTTACTTGAGGAGGCTTTGGCAATGGGTAAGTTTTTATTTTTGTTTTCGGTTTTGTTTGAGGAGGCTTTGACAAATTTCGGTTAGATTATGAGTTTCACTTTTGATTATCTTAATGTGCTATACGTGTGCTATGGTAATTTTAAAAATTATTTGTTTTCATTCTTAGGATATTTACAAAGACCCCTCCACACAACCTGCTCGAATGATTTGCCAACTTGCTCGAATGACGCCAAATATTGCCCATAATACCTTTTTGTCCACCATAAAAAAAAATATTGTTGTGCACCCTTTTAATACAGCCACTAATCCTCTTGCTACAAAATATATTGATCATTTCATATTTTCTATACAACATTAAATAATTAAGAATATTTTTTTATTTTTTATATGAGAGTTTAAGGAACCTAACTCTTGATCTTCTTCTGTACAATATATAAGGGTAAAATGGTACTGATGGAGATAACAAAATTCTAACTGACTAAGTAACTTAATTACCAAAGTCATAATAATGATCAAGCATAGCTCATTTCGTGAAATCAAATTCTATCAGCCAAAAAAAAAAGACACCATAATAATTAGCAAGCAAAAAAAAAAAAAAAAAGGTGGATTGGTTAGTGTACAATTCATAAATTTCATTTTTGGGAACAATGGGTAGGTGCAAAAAGACTAAGTTAGATGATTGAACATAATAAAAATTTGAAAATAATAAGAAATTGTTGTGATGGACACAAACACAATTTATAAAATAATCACTTAAGAAATCTAAGAATATCTAAAACAACACATCTTTGGGGCACGTAGCGCCCGTGATACAAAAATCCCTCACGCACGTTAGTGCAGAGAGGCTAGTCTATATATAAAGTCGGAAGGTAAACGCGGTGAAACATTCATAAATCCAAAATTGACCCTTTAATTACAGTTATGAGAAAAACAAAAAATATAAAAAGATAGGGATAAAATAGTAAAAACGTGGGGTAGGAGAGAAAAAAGAGGACACAAATTAGACGTCCAGAGAGTTGGAAACTGTATTTGAAACAGTTGTTGTAGTAGTCCTACTCCAACTTCCGCACACCAACTTCCCTATCCTTGCGCTCCAACTTCTTCCCGTTCCTCCTCCACTCTCTCTTTATGGGTCTTACTCCTCCATACAACAACCGAATCGTTGCCTAAAGTAACGGAGTCCATCCCATCGTCACCAAATCCCATCATCTTCTCGAACCAGTAGTTATGTTGGAGAGACCTCGACACTGCTGCGAAGGTACTCAATGGGCGCCATCATCCTTTATTTCCAATCTGGTCTCGGAATCGGTAATCACCAATTAATTTTTGAAATTTTCCTTGATAATTGTCAAATTAGCTCGAAATTTCTCCTGCAGCAGCACCTCCGAAAGAGGTTGCACCGGGTACTCTAGGTAAGTGTTTGTTGAAATGCCTCAACCACCCACACCACACTCTTCAAATGTTGCACCTTTAGTTTCGAATTTTGATTCTTTTTTTTTTTTTTTTTTTTTTTTTTGCATAAAATGTGGTTTGGTCCGACGTTTTGCCGGTTGAAGTCGACGTTATCGGGTGACGAAGTGGTGTTGCCGGTGGCGGCGGAGGAAGCATTCACTGAAGCTCTTGACAGTGGAAAAGGACAAATGAATGCAGTTGCAGAAGGGCTTTAAGGAGTTTTCGAGAGATGACCTACTGAAGTTGATGGCAAATGGTGGTGTGTTGTAACCGATCATGGGCATTTTGGTACGTTTGCCTTAGATTCACGCTTAAAATTCAATTCTATGTGATCTCATTTTTTGGAGAAAGTTTAAAGATTTGTATTTACAGTGGTTGTGTAGTTCTCTTTCCAATTTGAATGGGCCTCGAGCAGGGAAAAATGAAACGGAAAAGATACAGTTTTAAGTTCAAGTTATTCAATTTGTAGTTCTCTTTTATATCATTCAGAACGTTGGGCAGAGGAAATCCTCAATCTGCAAAACACGTTATTGCAGGTTTGGAGTTACACTTTATGTTTATTGTAATTAGTTGAATGCAAGTGCATTCTGGGACATGCGTACTTTCTGTGCGGACTGAGTTAGAGAGGGAGCGTATGGCTTTGGAGTTGGACGAAAAACAAGCCCAAGTTGAAAGAAGATGGTGCAACAAGCAGCTAAGAAAATTGAGAACCTCAACTCAATGGTATTGTATTCAAATAGAGATAGAATCGCGATTGCTTTAAAAAGGTTTGCATTGTTGTTCTGAAAATGAAAAATACCTACTTAAAAGTGTAAAATTCTATTATCTATAAACACAAAAGATGTGCCTGATATTATAATGTGCCGTTGCCAATGAGATAAGATTTAGTTAAACACTCTCTGTTGAATCGATAATTTTAGCACATTACAGGTTAGGAGACGTCGTCGACGGCCGCCAGTGCCAACTCAAGAACTCAAGACAAGCCTCCAATTTTGCCTTTGCACGCTTCCTCTCTTTTATTTGGAGCAATTGGAGATGGCAACCCAAAATAATAGAGCAGTTATGTACTATGAGCATCAGATTTCTTTGTCTACATTGCGGGTAGTCAAATGGTTGAAACAATTTGTTGTTAAATGGCTTTATTTGCATTTTACAACTTTCATTGGAATAATATTTGATTGAGTTAAAACTTTGATTTATGAATTTACACGTTTTTATTTGTTTCTCTGTCATATGGTTAGCATCATTTCAGTCCAATAACTCTCGAGATAGTTAAGTTGATTAATTTAGCGCTAATGATTTCCTTTTTTTCCTGCTGTTTATAGATATGCCTGTCATTTTATTCATTTTTCATGTTAACTTTGTTCTACAGCTTCCTATGGCTTAAAGCATTGAAGTTATTCATTTTTTTTATAAATATATTTAGGTGTTTTGGAAAAGGTATTTTATGTG